GTCCAGGGAGCTCTTTATTCTACAAAGGTGAGGTGAACAAATCAGTGAAGCACCTAGTAGGATACCAGGTGCTGCACAAACTCAGGCACACTAAATGTGCTTTATTTTTTTCTCTCCTGTTGGGATATGTGTGATGGACAACCTGAAAGTGAAACACCAAATACTGAGTACTGTGACAAATGAAAAAAACCTGACAGTTTCTGGGTAATTAACAATCAATTTATTAATTAGGCTAGCTAATGATAAATTGATGATCAGTGGTTTTTCTTGGTACCTAAAGAAAAACTCCCAATGGAGACCCTGAAAGCTTTCAATACCTTTCTAAAAGGTAATGCCCCTGACAAGTGAAAATCAACCCTGATAGGCAAACATTTAATGAGGTGGGCTAGAAGTCTTCAGCTCCTCCTGCTGAGAACATGGCTTAATCATGAGGCTCAGCCACCTCTAGCAATCTGAACAGGGGAATCCATCTCCACCCAGAACTTTCTGGCTTGTTTTCTTCTTCATGAGCTGGGTCACCTTAAACTCTAATGGAGGAGCACAATGACTGGGGCTCCTTTCCCCAGGGTAAGGATGCACCTGAACTAGATTCTAAGAGACCTAAAGAGACCTAAACAGAAGTTAGGTCTCCCAGTTGGGTAGGGTCCCATTGAAGACTGAAGATCATGTTCCTTGAGGGCTAAGAGTAATCTCATCAATCAGTCCTGTCCTTGAAAGAAATAGGAGAAAAGTCTAGATCTCAATTTAATAATTAGTTATTAATATGACAGTATAACAATAATTTCTCTCAGGACTGACTGTATGTTTGGGGGGCATAGGCTCAGTCATGAGTTACAAAGAGTTTTCTAACCCCAAGTAGTAAATCAGCCCCAGGCCATAAGAGGAAAAGCTGCATCTTCACCTGGGAACATTCTGCTGAGTTTTTGGTGTTTGTCTCAATAAACAGAGTGGTTCATTGCATTAGCCATGCTCTAAAACAAGGATTCTTAATCTATTTTGTGTTATGGACGCAAAGGGACTTCCAAAACGGCAGTATGGTAAAACCTAAGGACCTTTTCTCACAATGTTTCTAAATGCTTAAATGGGATTACAAAGGAAACCAATTATATTGAAATACAGTTATCAGGATGTTATGGAAAAAATCCCAAAATCATTGACTCCAGGTTAATTACCCCTACTTTAAAAGATTCACCTTGTCCTTCTCAGAAAAAGGCTTTTTTATCCATTTGCAGCTGCTGTAGATGAAGCCAGAGAGGAGCTCAGTGATCACACTAGTGGAGAAGCCAGGAACGGATGCCCAACAGAGAACAGGGGAACAACATCCCCAGAAGACATCAGATGTGTGAACTGCAAGAGCCATCTCTGCCCTGGTCATTCTGCCACACATAAGGTTTCCCACACATATCTGGCCACACATGCTCCTATTAAAATATTTTGGAGATACCCAGTTTTCTAGAGCTAAGGCCTAGCAAGCAGGCTGTGCCCTGAGCTTGGCATAACAATAATCCTTTGCACTCAGGCTATCACCCTCTGACAAAGCATATTGCTTGGACCAGCACCAGGTGTTCAGTGAGGGATTTAGCTCCTCCTATTTCCCAGGGCCATCCATCACATGTTCACAATCTCTGTTCCTTGTCACTGACAGGTACTGTACTCCTGCTCCTGTCATAGCACTCTGGTTCTATAACTGGCAGGATGGCCATGACTCTCAAGACTTGAGATAATGACCATTCCCATAGTACCTAAGAACACTTGTATTGTCTCAAAAAATGCTAACCATGAGAACTCTCCAAGAATGACTGTATTGTGAGCCAACCCCTTTCACGTATGTAAGTGGCCCCAGACATAGCAGCCTTAAGCCCGCCTTCTTAGGAGGGAAGGTTTCCGTATACTCACATCACTTTCCTCACTCTGAAATTAATTAACCTTCTGTTTGTGTCCTGACTCTCCTGTCTCTAACCAGCTCTGTTTGTTTGCTCTGGCCACCCATAGGTTAGAGGCCAGCTCTGCTCCAGCTGACACTCCGACAAGTCATTGGTGTGTACACTTCCCACTGGTGATATGGCTTACGACTCTTTAGCCTCCACTAACACTTAGTTCAAGTGCCCCTATAAGAAGCCTTTCACAATCCCTCCGGTTTCTCGTACCTCACCCCTATAATATTGCAGGACCTCTTCCAGGACTCTATAATTAGAAATTGCATGATGGGGGAGGAGGGAAGGATGAGTAGACTTTCAAATAAAAAGTACTCTGTTGTATGCACTTCAAAAACTATATCTCATGGGTTCCCACACTGCATTTACCACTAGTAAACACAACTCAAAGCAAAAACATATAGTGAACTGGCACTGCAAGAACAATAGTAACCAAATATAATTGCCCTTCAAAGGCTCTCACACAGCTCAGCCCAGAGAGTCAGGGGGTGGAGCTGGAGCAGACCAAAAGCCTCCATAATTGTGATTAAGTAACTAAGTAACACTGAAGTAGAAATCAAAATGCACGCAATGGCAACTGTGCAAACCCCCCACCCCCCCCCCCCCGCCCCAACCTGGCAACACAATTCTTAAGACTATACGGTAGGGGAAAACCAATTTTTTTTTATACAATCTTGCTAAAGGCAGTATATGTTTCTGGTTCAGTTGTTTAGTGCTATCCAATGCTTTGTGACCCCCTCCACGAACCATAGCATGCCAGGCCCTTCTATCCTCCGCTATCTCTTGAAGTCTGTCTACGTTCACATTCATTGTTTTCTTGACACTATCCATTCATCTCATCCTCTGGTGTTCCCTTTTCTTTTTGCCTTCGATCTTTCCCAACACCAGAGCCCATTCCAGGTTTCTACACAATATTGATCTTTATAGCATTGTACTTTCTTTTCATCACCAGACACATCCTCAGCTGGGCTTCCTTTTGGCTTTGGCACAGCCATTTCATTAGTACCGATGCTACTTGAAGTTGTCCTCACCCTTCCAAAGTAGCATATTGGACACCTTCCAACCTTAGAGGCTTATCTTCCAATGTCATCTCTTTTATCACTTTAGTACTACCCATCTACCCATGGGGTTTTCTTGGCAAAGATACTGGAATGGTTTGCCATTTCCTTCTTTAGTAGATCACCTTTTGTTAGAGCTCTGCATTATGACTTGCACATCTTTGGTAACCATGCACGGCACAGCTCATGGTTTCACTGAGCTACACAAGGCAGTGATCGGGTGGAGGGGGGAGAGGGTTAACATTTTTAAAAATGAGAGAGAATGAATAGTCAAGGAAGGTGGGACAGAGGAATAGTTACTGAAGATAATGCAACTCCAAAAAAAGATGAAGGAAGAAAAGATCTATTCCTCATTGAAGGTACCTCTTTCTAGGAGACTGGAGTAATATACAATTAAGAGAGATATGGGATTATACTCACTAAAAAGGAAATTGAATTATTAGGGTAAAGATGAAGCTCTTGGAAGGCATTCATGCCAGGCAGACGTGGCTCTTCTTCATAGGCCTAGGAACCACTGTGGAAAGGAGTAATAGTAACCCTATATCTGAGATGCATTCTCTGACTACACACAGCATCGGTGGTAAAAGCCAGCAAACGTGTAGAGTACCCTAGAGGATGCACACACTTAGAAGACATGTGTGGCCAAGAGCATTCCCACTGCTGGGACTGTAAGGTGCTTGTGTCCTTTCTATTCTTGTGAGGTACTGTTTGCTCCTCCTACGTGCAGCTTCTTAGTTTTGGTCCCTGGGCCTGTTCCTTCCCACACTATCCAGGGTTAACTCCTTTAACTCACAAATCTCCTTTGGACTAATATCTTAAACAGCTGGGCCTGCTCCCTGCTCTTTTCATATTCTCTTTCTTTTAGAAAGTTCATTAGCTCTCAATGGTTTGATTCAATCTCTTTGCAGATGCCTGTCAGGTCTAGCTGCCCCAGCTCTAATCCAAGTCATGAACTCCAGTCCCACATTACCAAATGCCTGGAGCACTACCACCCTTCCAGTGACCCAGGCTTGAAACCTTTTAAGTTCTAACCGACTTTTCCTTCTCCCTCCACTCCCACTACCCGCCAGAACTCACTGATGTTATCACTACATCTCTTTTCTCCACTCACAAAATCATTATTTTAGGTCCTCATCATATATCTTGGGGGCTACTGCAATAGTTCCCTAACTGGCCACCCAACCTAACATCGAACGGGTCTCTCCCCCTTCCAGTTCATCCTCTATGTAGCCACTAATCAAAATTCCTAATACATAGCTCTGAGTGTGTCACTTCCCTAGTCAAAAATCTTCGGGGAGGCACTGTGGCCTCCTCCACAATCTGGCTTTACTTACATTTCTAGTCATTTCATTTAACTCCTCTTCAAACATTCTTCAGTCCAACCAATCTGAAATCATTTTTATTTGCTTCAAAGTTGACACTCTGTGTTAACTTATTTTTGTGCAAGCTGAATCTCCTTGAGATCGAGGACCATTTCACCTTTGACTTTATATCCCTACACCTAGTAAAGCTCTTTGCATATAACAGGTGCTTAAAAATGTCTACTGAACTAAGCTGTGTGGCTTGGTACCCGCCATGAACACCATCCTCATCAGATTCCCTAAGTCCTTATAGGTGCCATCTGGGCCATATGCTCCCACTGTCTCCCACTATCCAGGGTGGGTCAGTCTCTGAGGGAGGTTGGACCAAGTGCCTGTAGCTTACAGACTGTGCCTCCCTATCCCTGTTTCAGGAGCTGAGTCCAACTATGCCATGATGCCTGGAAGGTCACTGTCTCAGACTTTGGTTATGTTGTGCTTGGATGGCTGAGGAGTGTACAGACAGGATGTGGACACTTTTTCTTGTAAAAAATTATAATAGTTTACATTCATAATGTTGCATTTTAAATTAATGATGATCTTTGAATATATTATCACATTTGTTCCTCACAACTGTGAGGCAGGTACTATTATTATCCCCATTCTACAGAAAAGGAAACTGAGTGTAATCCATCAATCAATAACTATTTATTAAGCAACTCCTATGTAACAAGCATTGTGCTAGGTGCTATATACAAGCACAAAGAATAAAACAATCCTTAGGCCTGGTAACTTTACATTATAATGAAGGAGACAGCAAACATAAAAATATATACAGCACAAATATAAAGTTAAGAAATAATATACACATGGAAAGTAGTGAAATACAGCCAGTTTGAAAGGGATGACATTAACAGCTAGGGGAATCAGCAAAGGCTCAGGGCAGCAGATGGTGCTTGAGCTGCACCTTATAGGAAGAAAAGGACTCTGAGGGATAGGCAAGGAGGGAATAATTGCATGTATAGGGGATGAATGACTAATGAAAAAGGCATGGAGAATGGAGATGGAGTGCTGTGAGTAAGGAAGAGCGAAGGCCAGTCTAGCTAGATCACACAGTGCAGAGGAAGAGTAATATTCAGTGAGGTTGGAAATAGAAGTTGGGGACAGGATCTGAAGGGCTTTAAAAGCTAAATACAAGGATTTTTTTTTTTAATACTAGATGCAATAGGATTTGGTCACATAAGAGAGTCACATGGCCAGCTCTGCATTTTAGGAAAATTCTTTGGCAGCAATGTGTAATATGGACTGGGATGGGAAAAGTCTTAAGGCTGGAAGACCAATTGGGGGGAGTTATAATAATACAGGCAGGAAATGAAGAGGGATAAGCTTGAACTTAGGTGGTACCTGTGTGAATGAAGAAAAGGGGTCTGATGGGACATATTTTGTAAATTTAGAAATGTAACACTTGGCAATTCACTGGATTTATGGGGTGAGAGAGAGTGAGGTGTCCAGAATAACGTCAAGATTATGAACCTGAGACATTGGAAGGCTGGTGATAATTTTTGTAAGAGCTAAGTTTGAAAGGGTGGAGGATTTAGGGAGAAAGAACACAAGTTCAACGTGTTTTAAATAAGTTGAGCTCAAGGTGTCTCTGGGGGCATCTGGTTTGAAATGTCTAGGAGGCAACTAGTGATGTGGGACAGAAGCTCAAGGGAGAGTCTGGGACTAGATATACATAGTTCTGGGAGTCACCTGCATATAGATGACAGTTAAGCACATGAGAGCTGATGAAAGAGAACACAGATGATGAAGAGAAGAGGGCTCATGATAGAACTTTAGGGAACTACCAGAGTTAGGAGTTGTAATGTGGATGATGAGTCATCAAAGGAGACTGAAAGAGGATAAATAAAAGGTATAACTGTCATTAAAACCTAGAGAGAACAGAGTGACCAGAAGGAGAAGGTTGTCAGCAATGCCAAATGCAATTTATAGACTTCGTGGACCTATCAGACTTGACAATTAAGAGATCATTACAATTTTAGAGAGAGAAGTTTCAGTTGAGTGATGAAGTCGAAAGTGTTTAAGAGCAAGTGAAGAGTAAGTGGAGGCAATGAGTGTAGATACTTTTTCAAGGAGTTTGGCTGAGAAAGGGAAGAGAGATATAGGATGATAGCTTAAGGGAATGATAGCATCTAGTGAAGGTTCTTAAAGGATAGGACACACTTGGGCATGTTTGAAGGTAGTCAGGAAGGCACCAGCAGCTAAGGGAAGGATGAGATTAAAGATGCAACTTGCTGGAGAAGATGGAAAGGGATAGGATCAAACACACATGATGGTTTGGTTTTGGCAAGAAGGGCCACCTCTTTGTAAGAGACTAAGAAAAAAGAGAGATTGGCCAATGACGTCAAGGGGTTCTGAAATAAGAAAATGAAAAAATAAAGCTCACATTGAAGGGCCCCCATTTTCCAATTAAAAAGATAAGCTCCACAGCTGAGAAAGGAGGTAGAATATAGGGGATCTGAGCAGGGAAGAGAAAGATTAGATTAGCTTCTACGGGGAGTGAGATACAGAACCAATTAAGGAACAATAAAAGGACTTCCTTGCTGTGGTGAGGGCCCAGTTGAAGTCTGATAACATGGATCTGTAGTCAACCCAGTTACTAAACTTCCCTTAGCTTCATTCAGTGGCTGGTAAGTAGGTGGACGGTACGAATAACCCAACGCTGAAGTCTGACAAAAGAAGACCCACATATGGGACAAGTGGGCAAGGAACTAAAGAGCAGGGGATTAGGTAGAGTTGAAATGATTAACTATTGAGTTGAGGATGCCACAGGAAGAAACTGAAATCAGAGAAGGGAACTGGAATGGAGAAAGTATTGAAGAGTAGAGGGAATGGCTATGAAGATGAAGAACAGGTATCGGGGGAAGAAGCATATGAAGTACTGTTAAGTGAAGCTATGTGACTTGCCCTGGGTCACATAGCTAGTAATCGACTGAAACGGGAGTTGAACCCAAGTTTTCTAGACTTCAAGACCAGCAATCTATTCACTAAGTCAGGGGAGACAGTCAAGGGGAGAGTTAAGCTCTACTCTCTCCTAAATAAGGTCCTTGGATAAAGTGAACTCTTAGACAAAGAGTGAGCCCATTCTGCCTGTGAGTGGCTGTTCTCCTCAATGATGTGGCCTTTGCTCTGGTACTGATGATGAAGCTATATTATCGTTCCTGGTGGCCAACTTCTGCTTCTTCAGTGAAAGGCAGGACCATGTGGCCTCTTTTGCAAGGGCTGGTGACTCAGCTCTTTTGGTTCACAACCTCAGGAATTATTTTATGGGTTTTGCGGATCAAACTCACAGATACCTAAACCAGCCCACAGAAATCTAAGGCCTAAATTATGTCTCTTTTCACTCCTTTTTGTCTTCTCAGCAGACACTCTTTGAACTCAAATATGTAAGGTGGTAGTGTTGAGTATAACTGCTTTCAACTCCCACTATGACCCTGGTAGCTAGATTAAGTCCATAAAATCCATTCAAGGAATGCCATTTACTGAAACTGGTTAAGTAGGTGGAGCCATGGCCTTTAGTCCAGCCTGTCTTCAGGTATCTACTACTCCCTGATAGGCATATACTACATAGCATTTATAAAAACATAAGGCAATAGATCATTTTCTGTGTAATGGGGCTGCCCATACAGTCTGAATACTTATCAAAGTCATCTCATAGGCAAGAATTCCATGCTATACATGAGCATGTCTCATGGTCAGTTAAGTCCTTAACTGGCATATACAGTTGGCTCTGGTTACTACTGCTCTTCTGGAATAAAATGATTCCCAAGACTTTTACGTTGGCATCATCACGTAACCTAAAGGACTTCCTCGGGTTTGCAAAAATCAACATCAGTACATTCATGATGTTGCATGAGGCATGACTAAATTTTTTAAAAGTCTGCTCATATTTCTCATCCCAATTATTTCCAAATGTTGCCCCATTGTGCCTTTTTGTCCTTCTGCTTTCTATTCATCTTAACCATATACCTAACAAGATCATGGAGAGGTTTTGTGATGATGGCATAGTCTTTTCTGATATTAACTGCCACATTCAGAGCACCCTGAAATTGTGGTATTGCATACTGATTCATCTTAGCTCTCTTTCTTTTCCTTCAAAGTCCAATAATCCATACTCATACACTCAGATCTTTGACTTCCTTTTGGAGGACTACTTTTTGTAGGATTCTATGAGACTACTGACTTAACAGTTCTCTCAACTTGTTCCTGATGTCTTCCATCTCATAAAAGGCAACTTTTCAAGACCATTCTTGAAAAAGTCAGATGTTGAGGGGGTCAGGTTTCCTTGCTCTTTGATTATATTCTCCCCCAACTCACTTCTGCAATGAGAACATTCAGCTCATGCTGAATTTCTTCCTCAGAGGATCCATCTATTACTCAGGCACTACTATTACTCAGGCATTAAAGAGTTACTAAAATTTTAATTCTTCACATCTGCTTTTGAGGTGGGAGTTTCTACCTTTGGCCTCCATCTTCCTGAAAATTTCTACATAAGAGGCATGCTTCATCAGCTATTCAGGTATTGACTCTGGTTTGGTGCCTTCAATACTGTCAGTATATTGAATAAGAGAAAGTTGTCCCAATCAAAGCTGCCACTCCACTATTATTTGGCAGATATACATATACATACATATCAGATGCGGAGTATCTATGTTCTTACTGACACTCAAGAATTCTCTTAGGACATTCGAGATCATACTGATATAATCCAATATGAGTAGCATTTTCTCCAATAAAGCAGTGGTCTCCCTGTCTGTCTGAAGGTTGGGACTAGAGATGGATTCCTATATAGCAGAGACATATTTGTCTCACTCATTTGAGAAGCCTACTCATTGAGGAGATTAGAGAGGCTATAGAGGTATGTGTTCTAACAGAAGATATTGCTGCATTCACATGGTTTACCTTCAGTATAATTCTATTATGTTGAAGAAGATGTATGCTTACATGGAAGTCTCTTCCACTTGTTACATTCATAAGGTTTATCTTCAGTATGAATCATGTGATAGGAGGACATGATCTACTGAGGAAGGGCTTCCTATAGTCATTACATTCATATATTTTCTCCTGGGCACTGATGTCTACTAAGTTGCATGCTCTTGGGAAATGCCTTTCCACATTCATTGCATTTATAAGGTTTCTCTCCAGTATGAACATGCTGGTGTTGAATAAGCAATGCACTCAGGCGGAAGGTCTTCCCACATTCATTACATTCATAAGGTTTCTCCCCAGTATGAATTGTCTGATGTTGGGTAAGATGTGCACTCTGGCTGAAGGTCTTCCCACATTCATTACATTTATAAGGTTTCTCCCCAGTATGAATCCTCTGATGTCGAGTAAGCAGTGTCCTCTGTCGGAAGGCTTTCCCACATTCATTACATTCATAAGGCTTCTTGCCAGTATGAATGTTCTGATGTTGAATAAGCAGTACCCTCAGGCGGAAGGCCTTTCCACATTCATTACATTCATAGGGTTTCTCTCCAGTATGAATTCTCTTATGTCTAATAAGCTGTGTACTGAGGCGGAAGGACTTCCCACACTCATTGCATTCATAAGGTTTCTCCCCAGTGTGAATACGCTGATGTCGAGTCAGCAGTGTGCTCAAGCGGAAGGCCTTTCCACAATCATTACATTCATAAGGTTTCTCTCCAGTATGAATACGTTTATGTATGGCAAGTTCTGCCTTCTGAGAAAAAGCCTTCTCACATTCACCACATTCATATGATCTCTCTCCGGTATGAATTTTCTGATGCCTAGCAAGCTGTGTGCTCTGTCGGAAGGCTTTCCCACATGTAATGCATTCATACGGTTTCTCTCCAGTATGAATTCTCTGATGTTGAGTAAGCATTGTGCTCAGACGGAAGGCCTTCCCACATATATTACATTCATAAGGTTTCTCTCCAGTATGAATACGCTGATGTTGAGTAAGTTGTGTGCACTGGCGGAAGGCCTTTCCACATTCATTACATTCATAAGGCTTTTCTCCAGTATGAACTGTATGATGTCGAGTAAGCTGCGTGCTCAGGTAGAAAGCCTTCCCACATTCATTACATTCATAAGGTTTCTCTCCAGTATGACTACGCTGATGCTGAGTAAGTTGAGTGCTCTGTCGGAAGGTCTTCCCACATTCATTACACTTATAAGGTTTCTCTCCAGTATGAATACGCTGATGCTGCGTAAGTTCTCCACTCCAAGTGAATGCCTTTCCACATTCAATACATTCATAAAGTTTCTCTCCAGTATGAATACGTTGATGTTGAATAAGTAGTGTCCTTCGATGAAAGGCTTTCCTACATTTATTACATTCATAAGGTTTCTCACCACTATGAACATAGAGATGTTGAATAAGCAGTGTGTTAAGGTGAAAAGCCTTCCCACATTCATTACATTCGTAAGATTTCTTTCCTGTATGAATAATACGTTTATGTAGAGTAAGTTCTGCCTTCTGGGAGAAGGACTTCCCACATTCTCTACATTCATAAGATCTCTCTCTAGTATGACTTTTCTGGTGTCTAGTAAGCTGCATGCTCTGGAGGAAGGCCTTTCCACAGTCACTGCACTTATAAGGTTTCTCTCCAGTATGAATTTTCTGATGTTGAATAAGCAATGTGCTTAGGTGGAAGGCCTTCCCACATTCACTACATTCATAAGGTTTTTCTCCAGTATGAATACGAAGATGTTGAGTTAGTTGTGTGCCCTGGCGGAAGGCCTTTCCACATTCACTGCATTCATAAGGTTTCTCTCCCGTATGAACTGTATGATGTCTGGTAAGTTGTGTGCTCAGACGGAAGGCCTTCCCACATTCATTACATTGATAAGGTTTCTCTCCAGTATGGACCCGGTGATGTTGAGTAAGCTGTGTGCTCTGTCGGAAGGACTTGCCACATTCCTTACATTCATAAGGCTTCTCTCCAGTATGAATACGCTGATGCTGAGTAAGTTCTCCATTCCAAGAGAAGGCCTTCCCACATTCCAGACAATGATAAGGTTTCTCTCCAGTATGAAGACGATGATGTTGAGCGAGTCCTGCCTTTCGGGAAAAGGCCTTCCCACATTCAGTGCATTCATAAGGTTTTTCTCCAGTATGACTAAGGTGATGTCGAGCAAGTGCTGACTTGTTACAGAAGGCCTTCCCACATTCGTTACATTTATGGGGTTTCTTTTCAGTACGAGTTGTCTGATGGTAATAATTAATGAACAGTGGTTGAAGGTTCACCTATATTCATATGATTTCTCTCAAATATATATTCTCTGATTTTCAATGAAATTTAAATTATCTCTGAAATATTTATCACATTTATTAGTCTTGGAAAATTCCTCTTTCAGCATATTCTATTACATTTACTTGGGTCAGAATATAATCTGACACAATTTCTATGTGTATCACATTTATGGGGCTTGTCTTATACAGAAATTTGCTACTGAAAAAAACAGACTGCTTCCTGACTACAGCTTCTGACATTTACTATATTCATGGCCTTTCACTTTATTGGGCGTTTTCCTTTGGTTTATTTTCACTTGGTCCAAATTTTTTTCCTTATTACTCGGGTACCCCTCTCACCTGGTATCACATTCCTAGGGCTCTACTTACCTTGGAGGCACAGAGACCCTGCCTTGTGAGCCTTTCTTGAGCTGACTGTTCGATGGAAATGACCAGGTTTGGAAATAATCCCTTGGCTTCAGGCTTGGTAGCCAAAACTAAAAGAAAAAAAAAAATTAAATATTCCTCCACCCACCCCTCCTACCACCTGTACCTTCTATTATATACTTAGACCTGTCTTCATCAAGAAAAAATAATTGGCAAACTTCAAACACTAGAAGAAATGATTAATAATAATATTAATATCTGAAGAATCATTTGTAATTTATAAAAACTATCACATTGTGGTTGCCTAAAGCACAGGTTTGACTATGTCAACTCTCCACTCCCCAGTGAGCTCTAGTTTTATCTTGTTACCTCTAGGATTAAATATAAAGTCCTCTTTTTGGCATTTAAAGCACTATATGACCTGGGCCCTCCCTACAGTTCCATTCACTCTACAATCCAGCCACACTGGCCTACTTGTCATTCCTCAAAAATGACACTCCATCTCCTGTCTCACTGCCTTTGAATCGGCTATCTCCCATTCCTGGAATGTTCTCTTTCTTCACCTCTGTCTCTTCCTTCCTCTGGCTTCCTTCAAGACTCAGCTCAAATCCCACATTCTACAGGAAGCCTTTCCTAGTCTCCCTAATAGCTGATGCCTTCTCTCTTAAGATAATCTTCCATCTACGCTGCATATGTCTTATGTGTACCTAGTTATTGTCACTATTTTCGTCCTTATCAGAACATGCTCCTTTGGGGCAGAAACACTTTTTGCCTTTCTCTGTATCCCCAGCACTTGATACAGTATCTGACACGTAGCAGTACTCGAAAAATACTTCTGGATTGACATTTCTAACTGGATTGTCTTGTTAACATTTCAAACTCACCATGTCGAAAACTGAAATTTGCAGCTTTCCTCATAAACTCATTCCTAAATGTCCCTATTTTTTGTGGACACCATCATCCTAAGGACCTGTGTTTACAACCTCTTGTTCTACTCTCATTCACCTCACATATCCAGTACCTGACCATTTTTTTTATCTACATCATCTCTCAAACCTGTGCCCTTCTCTCCACTCACAGTCACCACCCTGGATCAGACCCTTATCACCTTTTGCCTAGACTACTGCAACAGCCTCCTAATTGTTCTCCTTACTTCAAGTTTCTCCTCACTCCAGTCCAAACTCCATTCAACTGCCAAAGTGATTTTCCTAAGGGGCAGGTCTGACCGTGTCAGTCATCAGTGGCTCCCTATCACCTCGAGGATCAAAAATAAACTTTGTTGTTTGACATTCAAAGTCCTTCACCACCTGGCCCCAACCCATTCTTTCTGACTTTATATTATTGCCCTTCACACAATGCGGTCCAGCTAAGCTAGCCTTCTTACTGTTCCCCACTGTCAGGCATGCAATCTCTTGTGCCTTTGTACGGGCCATTCCCCATGTCTGGGAGTCAGTCTATACCTGTCTGTTTCTCAAAATCCTCGTTTTCTTCAAGGCTTAGCTCAACTACCACGTTAGATGCGAATCCCTTCCCCTAAAAATCACCTTATATCCACTCTGTATATTCTTCTATATGCACAAATTGTCTCCTCTGGCTAGACTGTAAGCACCTCATGGCCAGTGACTGTTTCCATGTTTGTCTTTGTATCTCCAATACCAAGCACAATGTCTGGCATATTACAGGAGCTCAATAAATGTTTGACCATTTATTGCTTAGTGAGTATAAAAATAGTAAAATGATAGTAAATAAAATATAGCAATACATTAAAAAAACAAATATGTTGATCAAGGAAGATATATCTAAGAAAATTCTACCAGTAGTTCCAGAATAGATTTCCTATAAAATACAGATCCAATTTATATTATAAACAGTAAAAAGTATGGGAGTAGATTGATTTAAAAACAAAAGTTAGAATGATCAGTAATGGAAAACTATTAGAGCCTTTCTACTAAGAATACACATTCTATTCCCAGGACAACATAAGCTCCTAGAAAGCAGGGATTATTGCATTTCTGTATTCAAAATCTCAGTATCTTGCCCATAGAAGGAGCCTGGTAAACTAATTATTTACTTGAAGAAAGATAAAAGCAGAGCTGTTGAAGTTCAGCATTACTATTCTACATGGTTTTGGAAACATTAAGAAGATTAAAGAGAAAAACTTAGGTAACACAAAGGTTTAAAACACTGTATTTGCAGATGACATAATTATACACTGATTATAAATAATTATACAACAAAACCTGAGAGATTTAACAAAAAAAAAAAGAAAATAAATGGTTTAGCAAGATAGTAGGATATAAGGTAAGCATACAACATCTATATTTCTATAATCTCTATTCTCTAAAATTTAGAAATAAATTTATAGAAAAAGAAATGACACTACTGAAAAAATAAATCAATCACTTGCACATTCCTCTAATTAGACCTGCAGAAGGAAGCTATAAAAAAGGTAGCTATAAAAAACGGCAGGAAATAATTATAGAAATACTCAATGTCCATATCCATGTATCGCTATTAAAGACTACAATATGACCCAAGTTAATAGATTCAGTGTAATGCTACTCGACTATCAAAGAGATTCTTCATAGAACTAGATAAAGTGAAAACAATATGAAAGATAGATAAGATAAGCAAACAGATGCTATGGAATTATGGAGGAAAATGAGGAAAAGGGTGAATTTCTAGGTCTCAGATGATATAGCAGGAAAACAATAAAGCAGCAACTATCAAAACTATCCAGTCTTGGTTGAAAACTAGAAAAATGAGATCAGCACCACAAAACAGGTAATCTGGAATTTGGCTGCAAAGCAAAAAAAAAACCAGATTGCTATTTGAAAAAAATAAAGATCACAAAATATCGAGCAAAGAGGTGGTTATTCAATTAAAATGGTTGTGAAAAATGAACAGCAGTTTGAATACAAAAGGAGTTAAAGCTACATCTCACATTAGAGTAACAGTCTAAATTCCAAGTAGATTAATGATCTAAATGGAAAAAAGAGACATGAAGAAAAAAACTTAGCAAAAAATAACCTAATTTGAGATCAAGGAGTGCTGTTTCTCCTTCATGCCTACTATTTCTATATTCTTATTATTTCCCTTCAGATTCTCAATCTTTTGATTCTCCAAAAGTTTTATTATTTTTTCTAGTTCTATAAAGACAGTCCTTGGTAGTCTAATTGGTAGGCACTAAATCTGTAAATTCATGAAAGTAGTTATCAACATTTGTATTATATTGACATAGTCTAACCATAGTAGCACTTTTTGTGGAAAGAAAGTGAGTATCCACTTATTGGGGAGTGACTAAGCAAACTGTAATCCAAGCACATCATGGAAAAATGACTACGTTTTAAGAAACAACATACAGGAATTCAGAGAAGCATGAGAAGCCCTGCATTAACTGAAGCAGAATGAAGTAAATAGAATCAGAAAAACAACTGACACAAAGACTGCATCAATGTATACAAGAACAACAAAGTGAAACTGAACACCATATAATTACAACACAGTCCTGGAGAAGTAGGGGAATAAGGGTGTGGAATGATGAACGTATAAACATAGGTGGCTGATATCTCAGAGTTAATTTTTTCTTAATGTTTTGCTTTTTCTTTGTTACAAGTCCCTTGGTGACTATGATATAACAACAAAAGACAGAAATAAAACTTATTTAAAAGTAAGCTTCTTGAGGGCCGAGACAATTTCATTTTTGTCTATCTCCAGTACCCAGCACAATGTTCAGCACATATTAGTAATTGAACACATATTCATTGAAGTGATGGCTCAGTGGATTGGAGAGGGACCAGGCATATATTCAGAAATTTTTAAAAAATCACCCATAAAAATGTAAAAACCACTACCAGACCCGTAAAAAGAAAAAGTTTAAGTTGACTTAAAGCAGTCCTAAATAACCAGCTAAGCTAAGCTGTTGTTTGCAATAACACCTCTACCTGATTTTTTATTCACTCACCTGGGCAGCTCCATCTTAGGACTTCTTCCTCTGCCCTCCATGGCACTCCCCCCTTGCTCTAGTTGGTAAATCACATCTGGCTTGGAAACTGCAAGTCCTATTCATTGGAAATGGGAAACTGGTGAGAAAGAAGAATCTCAAAATTCAATCCCAATATCTCTCTCTTTGGCGAAAAGGAGGCATAATAGGGAGGTCCAGATCATTGTAAAAAAGAACCCATAAGTATGCTTTATATTGTTTTCCTGATAAATATATGGGAATGGTCAGAAACTGGGTCTGGACTCAGAAAAGTTAGAATCAGACTCTTTTCATGTTTTCAGGTATCTACAGTGGGTTTTTAAGGAAGACTCCTGCACCTGGGGCAATAGGGGCTTATAAGATGAGCACTGGATTTGTAGTCTGGATGAGCTGAGCTCAGACCCCAGATTTATTACCAACTATATTCTACACAGTAGGACTATACAGAGGACTACAGTACCTTAAACCCTCTTCGTCTCAGCTGCCTTGTGTGTATGCTGATCACTAAGGTTCTGTCCAGCTCTAAATCTGTGATCTGATGAACCACAGGGGACACACAATCAAGGTGATGGCAATAAAATGCAAAGACTTTTCACCTGGGAACAGGTTGCACAAAATACTTTGTCTCCCGGGCCCCAAAACCAGTAGTAATCTCTGGTCTGTGTATGCCTGGCAACAAGTACTAAACAAATACTTTAGATACCCTGCATAGAGTTTGCTAAAGGACAAAGACAAGAGTTTCCAGTGGACCGATTTTGATTTACAAGAGAAATCTGTCCTTACCTAAGCAAACCAGGTTGGTATAGTTCTCCTGCATCACATCTCTGTACAACTCCTTCTGAGAAGGGTCCAGGTGATCCCATTCCTCCTGGGTGAAGTCCACAGCCACATCCTTGAATGTCACTGACTCCTGAAATACCAAATACATTTGTGCCAAACCAGGCACCATCCCTCTCATGGACCTGGGAGAAGTAAAAGGTTCAGGAACCAGGGAGTAGTTCTTAGTGTATAGGCTTCAGAATGCTCCACGTCAAACTCCTATAGAACATCTGCACTGTGTCTCAGTCTGTAATGGATTCCAAATCACGTGACAACACAGTACTAACAGCTCGAATTTCTCATTATCTCCTTTTGGCTTACAAAGTACTTTTGGGGCAGGTCATCAATAAGCATTTCTGGATCTTAGAGTGTATGAGGGAGAGTGAAGTATAATACCAGAGAGACAGGAAGGGGCCAGGTTGTGAAGGACTTTCAAGTGCAAATAACTAGGGACATAAAAGATAAATGCAGTGTAGATGAGAGGCAGTAACCTTAGGGGGAAGGTTCACCAGAAGATTTTATGTTTGGTTCTTTATATTTGGGCAGCCACTGAAGTTCACTGAATGAGCTCTAATGGTGACATGGTCAAACCTGGGATTTAAGAAAATCATCTTGGCATGAGTGAAGGATGGATTGTAATAAGAAGAGAGATATGAGGCAGGGAAACAATTTAGAGGGCTACTGCAACAGTCTGGGCCAAGAGTAATGACATCCTGAAGAGGACTGTGGATCTGTGAGTGGAGGGAAGGGGGCATGCGTATGGAGAAGAGATTGTGAAGGTAGAAACAAGAGTTTATAACAGATCAGATATCTGGGGTAACTGAGGAATTTCAAACCTTTTAGGCTAAGAGGATGCTGGTGCCCTCAACAGTAACAGGGAGGGAGAGAAGAGAGGGAAGCTGGAGGAGGGGTGATGAGTTCTTTTTTTGGATGTGGTGAGTTTCGGATGCCTACAGGACATCTAGTAGGAGATGTCTAAGAGACAGTCTGTGATAGAAAACTGAAGCTCAGGAGAAAGAATAAGGCTGGATTCATCAACAGAGAGATAATAATTGTTATTGAACCCATGGGAGATGATGAGCTCACCAAGTGAGACATATGGAGCACAAATAGAAGAGGGCCCAGGACAGGGCCCTGGGGGACAATCGTGGTTAGCGGGCGCGACCCGGATGAAGATCCAGCAAAAAAGACTGGGCAGCGTTCAGACAGGCAGGAGAATCAAAAGACAGCGGTGGCAGAAAAACCTACAAAGGAGAGAGTATCCAGGAAGAAGATGGCCAAGACCAGTGTCCAGGGCTGTGGGGATCAAGGAAAAGGCCGTCAGAGTCAGCAATGAGGAAATCATTAAACAGGTGACAGGATGACTGAGGATGCAATTTACTGAAGATAGGAAGGGATGGGATCAAGTACACATGCTGAGGGCTTACCAGTCTGGGAGAAAGAATAGAAAGTGGCAGATGGTGTCAAGGAATTGTGAGGTGAAAAGCAGAGGAGCTCATTTCTTCAATTTTCATGGCCTTTATTTTCTCAGTAATAAAAGAAATTAGGTCCTTAACAAGAACTTTGGGAGTGGAGTGTGAGAAGCTTGAAGAGGGAAAACATGGTTTTGAACAGCTTTTATGAGGAATGAAATAGAGGATCAGGGAGGAATAAAAAGACTGCCTTGCTCCAGTGAGGCCCAGCTGAGGTTCAGATAATCTGAACTTGCAACATAGTCAGAACTGAGGTAAGACTATCTAGCTTTGTCCAATTACTAGTGAACAGAAGAGAAGGAGGCAGATGGTAGGAGTAATCAAGGACTGAGGTTTGATAGGACAAGGGGGAAATTTCCTTTCCTCTCACTTTCTTCTTAACTCTCTGTAGTCTGGCTCCCAAAACTCATCATTTGGCTTAAATGGCTTTCTCCAAAGTTACCAGTGGTCTTTTAATTGCCAAATCCAATAGCCCTTTCCCAAACCTCATCCTTCACCTCTTGGCAGCCTGTCACTGCTAATCATTTCTTCTCTTTGGTACTCTCCTCCCTAGATTTTCAAGACACTGTTCTACCTTGGTTCTCTGCCTACCTGACTACTTCTTCTGCCTTCTTTTAGGTATTTCAATCCTGGCCATATCTGCTGCCCAAGACCCTGTCCTGGGCCCTTTTCTCTTTTCCATCTATACCAGAGATCAGAAAACTATGGTTAAGGGTCAAATCCTGTTTTTGTACAGTAGGTGAGCTAAGAATTATTTATATATTTTTAAATATAATAAAACTTTGTCTAAAAAAAATGTAAAAACCATTCCTAAGTTGCAGGTCATACAAAAACAGGTGTATGACTTCCCCCCACACATTTTGTGGGTAACCTACTTTGCTTGGTGATCTCATTAGCTCCCATAGATTTGAATATCTTCTCTATGCAGATGATATCAGATCTATTTATACAGCCCTAACCTCTTTCCAGATCACCTGTATTGCCTCTCCAACTGTCCTTTGGACATCTCAAACTGAATATCCTGTAAACATCTCAAAGTCAACATAAGCAAAACAAGTGGGACTTATTATCTCCCCAGCTCCCCTTTCCTTTCTTACTGCTGTCCAGGCTCCCACCACCCAGGGCTGAAACCTGGGCATTGCTCTTAACTCTTCACTCTCATCCCCACCCCCACCCCCATTTGCATTTCTACCTCAGCAACATCTCTCATGTACATTCTCTTCTTGCTTCTGATACAGTCACTGCCCTGTTGCTGGTGCTCGTTATCTCACACCTGGACTACCTCTTTGGACTATGTCCACCTGCCTCAAGTTTCTCCCTACCCCAAACCATCCTCTACTCAGCAACCAAATGACCTTATTAAAGTACAGGTCTGACCATGACACGTACGTACACCCATATACAATCCACTCCAGTGGCTCCTTATTACCTCCAGGATCAAATATAAAAACCTTCATAACCCGGCTCCTTCCTAACTTTCCCATCTCCTTATCCAGCACTCGCTTTTCTTTGGCTGCTCCCTACGCTCTCCCTCCTCACCTTTGACTTCCGACTTCCCGGGCTTTCTTCACATCTCAGGGAAAGTTCCACCTTCTGCAAGAAGTCTTTTCCAGTGGTCTTGAATCTTTGTGCCTTCCCTCTGAGACTATCTCCAATCTATATCTTTTTGTACATTGTTTGCATGCTGAATCCCCCATTTTGTCTGTGAGCTTCCTGAAAATTAGGGTTGTCTTTTATCTGAAGCACTTAGCACAGTGCCTGGCACATAGTAGGTGCTTCATAAATGCTTGCTGACTTCAGGACAGTGTAGAGTTGACATTGCTGACTACTGGATTGCAGATGGACAGGAGTAAAGTCAAAGCAGGGATGAGACAAAGCAGGGATGAGAAGGTGGAGAGAGTGGAGGTCTACCTGAACTGAGAACAGGTATAGAAAAGGTGCAGCACAGAAAAAGGTATAATGATAGGAGATTATGATCTGATAAAGGAACATTAGAATGCCTAATTAGGGAAGTAGAACATTTGTGGGTTAAAGGGAGATAGAGTGTGAGACCATCCCTATGTGTGTAGCTGAGGCCGATGAGTTAAGTCAAAGAGTGAAGGAGAAAGACATGCTTAAGAAATGTTGTTGAGGAAATGAAGTTGGGGAGTTTGAGGGGGAACTGACAAGGTAAATCTGGGCTTATGTCCTGCCTTAGATTCCCCACTAGCTAGGTGACCTTGGTCAAGTCACTGAACCTCTCTGTGCCTCAATTTCCTCAACTTTAAATAAAATGATGGGATTAGCCTAGAAAGGACTCTGAAGGCCCCTTCCAGCTCTAAGGGAGGAAGAGAGGAGTGCAGAAAGACAGGAGGGAAGAGAGGAGGGGAAAAGGAGGAGAGAGATGAGGGGAAAGAACAAGAGAGTGAGGAGTGGAAAGGAGGACTAGGTGGAGGGAGAGGATGAGAGGGAAGGGGAACAGTATGAAAGGGAAGATTAAAAAAGGACGGGAAGGCAGGACAGCAAAGAGGGAAGAGGGAGAAAGAGGAGGGAAAGGATAAAGGGGTGGGGGGAGGAGAGGAGCACTAGAAGAAAGGGGAAGGGTGTAGAAGGAGGAGCAAGAGAATTAGGGGAAAGAAGGGCAATGGGAGAGAAGGGGGAGCAGGAAGACGGAGAGAGGACAGAGGAGGAAGGGGGAAGGGAAGAGGGAGGGGGAGGGGAAAAGGAAGAAGGAAGAGGAGGGGGAGGGAGAGGAGGTAACAGGAAGGGGAGGGGGTAAGCGAGAGGAGTAAAGGGATAAGGGGGAGAAGGTGGAGGGGGAACAGGAAATAAGGGGAGGGAAGGGAGAAGGAAGAAAACCAAGGTGATGGGAGAGGGGAAGCTCCCACTTTCAAAAATGGAAGTGGGCGAAGGGGAAGGGAAGGGAGGACACGAGGAGGTTCAGGCCGGGACCGGACGCACTCGGGCCGCTAACCTCCCAGCTCAGCCGCGGCTTCGTCCCCATCCTCCTCTGCGTCTCCCCGAGCTCAGAAGCGACCCGGAGAACCCAAAAACAGCACGAGGAACGGTAGGAGGAAGCGGAAATCACGTGAGAGGGAGCTTTCCTCCCTCCATCCTGGCAGGTCCCTCCCGCCTGCCATTATTGCCATGGCAACCATTCCTGCGCCTCTACTTCCGCCCCGCTAGCAAGGTCTTCTGGGAAATGTAGTTCGGAAGCTCGGGCAAGCCTTTGTGTTTGTACGCGAGAGCAGAGAGACCCCTGGGGCCTCTAAGGCTCTTTGACAGAAGGTGTCCTGTGCTTTTAGGCTGAGCTCAGCCCCTCACAGACCCCCTCGCTCCTTAAAAGGCCTTTCTCATCCAAGCACCCACATCTACTCTCAATGTCTGCTTGGAGATGGGGAGAGGGTGGAAAGGGAGGATCCCCTCTGTTTGGGACCTGCTCCTAAACACGGCGGCTTTGCCCCAGGCTCTGACCATTCTCCCCTCCGAAAACCCCCCCAATTCTCTAAAAGTCCTCCTTCCTCCATCTACAACGTCTCTACAGGCTAATGAATTCATTGTCTAGGAAAAACTGGACCTATGTATTTGACTTACAACTTCTACCTCCCCCCAGCACGCTATGTGCCAGACACGGTTCTAGGGGGACACAGAGAAAAAGCAAAACTAACTCCTGCCCTCAAGGAGCTTACATTCTAATGAGAGAAACAAGATCAATCCACGAATCAATCCACACAGAGCAATGGACCTTAGCTTAGAGGGGATGGCAGTAGCAGAAGAGAAAACCAGTAAGAGCTCTTGGAAAACATGGTGCTCAAGCTGAGTCTTAAAAGGAAGCCAGAGATTCCAGGCATGGAGAATCGGTTGATGGAGAGGATCATGCAGTAAGCCAGTATGGCTGGAGCAGGGATATATGGAGGCTCAGGAAGGACTAGCACCTCTGGTATGAGGGCTTGCCAAGGCCTTTTCAGGACTGCTCATCCACCTTTGGTGTCTAACCACTCGACCCCCAACTTTCACCTGTGGCTCCAAGAAACTACAGCAGCCACACCTCAGTAAAACCATCTTAGAAAAAGGCCTCAAACCCCTCGATGACTTAGGGGGGTGTCTATCCCAAGCATGTGAAGACTTCCCCCTGGTGGAATGGGCAGATGAGAACAATTTGTTCCAACGGCCATGAAGATGGCTGAAGTGGCATCTGCGGAGCCATTAGAGCTTGATCAGACATCAAAGAAGTCCAGGTCACTTACTGCATCCCGGCCATTGCCAGTCACCTCGGCTTTTATCTTGCCGCTAGACTTTGCTGACTCTGGAAGATGACTTTGCAAATCCAGTTCACTCAAAGGTCAAGACATCACCAGAGATGTTATTGGTCCTCTTCAAAAAGGAAAGAGGAGCAAGAACAGTGATTGGATCACAGTGGGCTTGGGGAGGGGGGTGTGGAGAGAGAGTTAGAATATAAGTAGAAGGGAAAGTAAGAAGGGATCAGGTTGTAAAGGGCTTTAATTCTGAACAGAGGAATTTACACTTAATTCTGGAGCTAATTGGAGCAGTGAGGTGGCACAGTAGATAGAGCGCCAGGCCTGGAGTCAGGAAGACTCATCTTCATGAGTTTAAATCCAGCCTCAGACACTTGCTAGCTGTGTGACTCTGGGCAAGTCACTTAACCCTGCCTGCCTCAGTTTCTTCATCTGTAAAATGAGCTACAGAAGAAAATGGCAAACCACTGCAAGATCTTTGCCAAGAGAACCCCAATGGGGTCATGAAGGATGGGACATGACCAAAAAATGAATGAAATAGCTAATAGAATAATAATAGGGAACCCTTGGCGTTTACTGAGTCTGGGGGATGACATGGTCAAAACAGTGCTTGAGGAAAATCATTTTGCCAGCTATGTGTAAGATGAATTGGATTGGGAAGAGACTTGAGGCAGGGAGACCAATTAGGAACCACTTGTGATAGTCCAGAACAAAGGTTTAAGGGCTTAAACTAGGGAACTGGGTGTGTGAATAGAAATAAGTGGACCTGTGGGAAAAAAAAGTTATGAAGATGGAAGTGACAAGGTTTGGCAAATACTTGCATATGTGAGTCAAAAATGATACGGAGATTGTGAATCTGGATGACCGTAAGGATGGTGATTTCCAGATCGGTAACTGGGAACTTCAGAAGAGGAGGACTTCAATGGGAAGGCCAAGTCAGATTCTCACACACCCTTGGACCCAACAGTACCAATACTAGGCTTGTTTCCCAACATGATTAGTGAAAAAGGAAATGAACCTATATGTTCTAAAATGTTTGTAGCAGCTCTCTTTATGGTAGCAAAGAACTGGGAATTGAGGGGATGCTCATCAGCTGGAGAATGGCTGAACAGGTCGTGGTATATGGTTGTACTCTAAGATACTGTGCTATAAGAAATGATGAGCTTGATGATCTTAGAAAAACATAGGAAGACTTGCATGAAATCATGAAGAACGAAATGAGCAGAACCAAGAGAATGTTGCTTATAGTAACAACAATATTGGTTTAAGAACAGCTTTGAGTGACTAAGTCATTTTGATTATTATAAATACCCAAATTAACTACAAAGGAAGGAAGGAAGATGCTATCTGCATCCAGAGAGAGAACTGATAAATAGAAGTATGTATAGAGTGATTTTACATATATATATATATATATATATATATATATATATATATATATATATAAAATACACACACACATACTTGTATCTGTTGGTAGCCATGGGGGGGGGAAGAAAAAAAGAGAAAAAAAGAAAGTTACATGAGAACTTTATTATATATTTAAAAGGAGTAGCAAGCTGTACCTAATAATTTGAAGTTTCATGTACAATCATCTTTTTTTCTATTCTACTATGTTATGGAAATGTTTGTTTTATTTCTTAAGTTCAGAATAAAATAAATAAAACTAAAACGAATTTTTTTCTTGATATCTTTGTTTTTACATTTAGTAGGTTTCTCTCTGTATCTCTCCTGTTCCCTTCTCCCAGAAACATTGTGAAAGGGTCAGGAACAAAAAAAAAAAATCTTCCTCTGTACTTGAACTTTTCTGGTCAGAAAATAGGTTCAGGTCCAGAGACAAGAGAAGTTCAGAGCTTGCAGTTTGGAGTAAGTGAGGTTGACCTTCTCAGGGTCTCCAGCTACTCCACATCACTGTAATGGGCATACCCAAGAATGCTTCAGAGACAGTTGAGGGGAAAGGTAAGCCTCTTTTCCCCTCTTACTCTCACAAAGTATAAAATTCCCTGGACACGGTGAATTCTCTGAGAAGTTGTGAGATCACTTAGACATAGGTACTTGTTGTCCCTTAGACTTACATCTTTGTTGTGAGCCTCTGGTACCAGTTATTTTGGAAATCACCCTAGAAATGATGGATCCCTCATACTGACATTGATAATAAAGTCAATGGCTACAGAGTTACAAAGCAATGAGGACCACTGATGTGGACACTACCTTGATGATGCTTACACATTTAAGCTGACCCTTGGCTTAGCACTTAATAGGACACAGAATTTGGGGAAGGTGGAATTAAACAAGGAGGAGAGACAGAGAGACACAGAGCTGCTGGGGGGGGGGTGGACTAGAGGGCTGAGAAGCAGCTGCAGAAACACACCAAGAGAGGAGACATATGCCCACTTATCAGAGGTGGTGGCACAGGGCCAGGACAGGGTGCAGAAGAAGCATGGATACTGTTCCCTTGAGAGAAACCTGTGCATCCTTGAAGCTTTCCAGGAGAGAAGAAACTGAGACCTGAAGCAATAGCAACCTGGACTTAACCCTTCAATAAATGAAAATCGATAATAGGGAGTTTATACCTATCAGTTGATCAATTAACATTTATTAAGCACCTACTATAGCCAGACACTGTGCTAAGTGCTACCCAACAAGTAAGGAGATTATAAGAGGGTTGCCTATTTGCGCCTTATGAATTCAAGCCATCTAGCCCTGATAGAGGGCAACTATATGGGCATGGTAGAGGGCTGGAGTCAGGAAGATTCATCTTTGTGAGTTCAAATCTGACCTCAGACACTTACTAGCTATGAGACCCTTGGCAAGTCACTTAACCCTGTTTGCCTCAGTTTCCTCATCTGTAAAATGAGCTAGAGAAAGACATGGCAAACCACTCCAGTATCTTTGCCAAGAAAACCCCAAATGTGGTCACAAAGAGTCAAAGACAACTGGAAAAAGTACCGAACACCAACACCATAGATAAGTTTACTTAGATTTTAGCAAAGCATTTTGGAAAGCATTTGGAAATACTATTCTCATGGAGTAGATAGAGCTGTATGGATTAGATCCGCATTGAATCAGGCCTTGCACCTCAGCGTCAAGAGCTGCTTAAGCTCTGGATGGAGTGTTATTGAGGTAGAGGGTGCAGTCCTTTTGATGGTGAATGCCCTCTGGTGGCCAAAGGTTTACTGTATTCTGTAGCTCGTCATTTAATTGATAGGACGGCCAGCTTTCCTCTAGGTTGTAAGAAGCAGGGAAATAAGCTGGATGTAAATTGTTAATAGTCTGTGCAGCATCATCAAGTGTACACTTACTCCTCCTGACCAATCCACGCAGAATACGGGTCTGAAGTCCCTTATGTTGAGAGCCAGCTCTCCAGATAAAGGAAGGAAATAACACTTTACAATTATCATCTCATCCAATCCTGACAACAACCCTAGAAGGCAAATGCTATGATTATTTTTCATTTTACAGTTGAGGAAATTGAGGCAAACAGGGGCTAAGTGATTTACCCAGGGTCACAGAGCTGCTAAGTATCTGAGCTCAGATTTGAACCTAGTTCTTTCTGACTCCAGGCCCTGTGCTCTATCCACTGTGCCCACCTGGCTGTCGCAGGTGACAGGCTTGGCTAGAGACCTTCTGAAGAGACTCCTGAATTAGTGGCAGTAATCCGCAACAAATAAGAAGGAAATTTCCTTCCATTACAACCTTTATCTTAGCAGATGTTAACGTGGGATTTCAAGCAGAAAGTCTGGTTTTGGCTAGACTTTGTACTGACGATTGACCGCTGAATGAGAGCCTGTTATGCTGTTCCCAAACCATACAATAGAAGGACAAATACATCGGTTGTACTGCCAAGGAAGGAAAAAATAGATGGAAGGTTTATTGT